AATGCTACGGTGGGAGAGCGAGGGAGGGACGGAGAGAGAGAATTGGACGGTGTGAGAGCGAGGGAGGGACAGAGAGAGAGAATTGGACGGTGTGAGAGTGAGGGAGGGACAGAGAGAGAGAATTGGACGGTGTGAGAGCGAGGGAGGGACAGAGAGAGAGAACTCGACGGTGTGAGAGCGAGGGAGGGACAGAGAGAGAGAATTCGACGGTGGGAGAGCAAGGGAGGGGCAGAGAGAGCGAATTCGTCGGTGAATGCGACGGTGGGAAAGCACGGAGAACGGACGGGAGCGACGGAGCGCGCAATTGCGAAGAGTAAGGCACGATTGCGAACGAGAGAGCACACGGTAGAGACGGAGAGGGCAAATCCGACCGAGCAAGAGCACCCTTAGCGAGCGAGAGAGTCGAAACGAACGAGAGAGTGAACGGCAGCGACGGAGAGAGTGAATTCAAAATGGAGTGATCACGGGAGCGACGGAGAGATCTAATGCGACTGACGGAGAGCAAGGGAGCGAGAGAAATAGAGAGATACCGGGAACGAGAGCGGCCGGGATAGAGAACGGGAGCAAAGGAGATGGCGAATGCGACGGTGGGAGACCTTGGGAGCGACAGAGGGAGAATGCGACGGTGAGAGAGCACGGGAGCGACGGCGAGAGAGAATGCGACGGTGGGAGAGCGGACGGGAGGGAAGGAGCGCGCGAATGAGGTACGGACAGCGCACGGGAGGGACGGAGATAACGAACGTAAGGGAGAGCGGACGGGAGGGACGGAGCGCGCGATTGCGGAAGGGAGAGCACACGGAATGGACGGAGAGAGCGAATGCGAGAGGTAGAGCGGACGGGAGGGACGGAGCGCGCGAATGCGGAAAGGTAGAGCGCACGGAGAGACGGAGAGACCGAATGCGAGAGGTAGAGCGGACGGGAGGGACGGAGCGCGCGAATGCGGAAGGTAGAGCGCACGGAGAGACGGAGAGACCGAATGCGAGAGGTAGAGCGGACGGGAGGGACGGAGCGCGCGAATGCGGAAAGGTAGAGCGCACGGAATGGACGGAGAGAGCGGATGCGAGAGGTAGAGCGGACGGGAGGGAGAGAATGCGACCGTGGGAACGCACGGGAGGGACGGAGAGAGAGAATGCGACCGTGGGAACGCACGGGAGGGACGGTGCGCGAGAATGCGACGGTGGCAGAGCAACGGACGGACGGAGCGTGTGAATGCGACCGTGGGAACGCACGGGAGCGACGGAGAGAGAGAATGCGATCGTGATAGAGCGGACGGGAGTGGCGTAGTGCGTGAAGGCGACCGGCGTATGCGGACGGGAGGGACGGAGCGCGTGAATGCGATAGGGAGGGCGGACGGGAGGGACGGAGCGCGGAAATACGAAACGGATAGCGAAAGAGGTTGACAGATCGTAAGAATGCAAAACGGAGAGCGGACGGGAGGGACGGAGCGCGCAAACGCGTAAGAGAGAGATCACGGGATGGACAAAGCGCGCTAATGCGACCGGGGGTGAGCACGGTAGCGACTGAGATGGCGAATGCGAACGAGAGAGCAAACGGCTGAGACGGAGAGAGCGAATACGACCGAGCGAGAGCATCGTAAGCGAGCGAGAAAGATCACGGCAACGACGGAGAGAGTAAATGCAAAAGGGAGGGATCACGGGAGAAACGGTACGCGCAAATGCGACTGTGAGAGAACAGGGGCCTACACGGAGAGAGCGAACGCGAAAGGGAGAGAGCACGGGAGCGACGAAGCGCGCGCATGCGACCGGGGGAGTACACGGGAGAGTCTGAGGTGGCGATTGCGAACGGGGGAGCACACGGTAGAGACGGAGAGAGCGAATGCGCCGAGAGAGAGCACGGGTGCGCCGGAGAGGGAGATTGCGAAAGAGGAAGAGAGCAAGAGAGACGGATAGATCGAATGCGAACGAGAGAGAGCGCAACATAGACGGAGAGAGTGAATGCGAGGGAGAGGGAGAACGGGACCACGAGGGAGCGCGAATGCGACAGAGAGAGAATGGGACCGAGGGAGAGCGTGAATGCGAGGGGGAGATACAGACGGCGGGAGCTAGTGATCGCGAGCATGCGATAACAAGAAGACGGGAACGACAGCGCTCCCGAAAGCAAGGGGTAGAGAGAGAACATGACCGGGGGCGCGCGCGATGATGTTAAGATGAGCTCACCTTATTTGAGCTAAGCAAGGTGTAAGCGCTTGAAAAACTACCGCCACCAACGTGTCCCCTTGAAACCCGGTTCGTACCCACCTCCCCGCGAGCAAGGCCGTAGAGCCACTATCAGAACAGCAGTGCTCATGCAAAAGCGTAGGTGATAAGCGGAACGGAATGCCAACTATCGGCAGCAGAAAGTCGAGAATGGCCAGCAAGAGATTCTGAAATGACGAGCGATCTAACGAGTGAGTGATGGATGTGGGACTCCTGAGAGAGAACCACAAACGGTCGGAATGCTTCGAGGGGCGAAAATTGCGAGAGGGAACGGTCGGAATGCTCCGAGGGGCGAAAATTGCGAGAGGGGTGTCTACCGGTAACAAACAACTCGCGAGTCGCAACGCATGCCTGAAATCTCTCGTCACCACGCGGCAAAAAGCCTGAATGAAAAAAAGCAAAAACCGCTGGCATTGCAATTCGCGTAAGAAACAGACGGGCCGCGAATTGCTTCCTTCCCAACTCCCGCAATTTTCGGCGCGAATGAAAAAAACGGACATGTGTCCAACAACCAGCTATAGAGTGTCACGCCTGAATATATAAAGCAAACTCATTTATAATTAAGTGTTCTATATCTAAAAAGACATCATATTAGTCAACTGTACCCACAATTTAACATATATGAATTCTATACGAAATGAGAAAGCATACCCGTCGAAACGATTGAGATAAATTGCATATATTCACTCCATAAAAATAATCCGACCTCATGTTGACAACCAGTGAGCTTGAAATACACACATTTACATTTTCAGGAAATCACTTCATACAGATTCGTTTCGAGATACACAGCAACACGCAACATGGAAAGTTGAAACGCGTCATAGCTAAATCGGAAAAACAACACAGGCCGCGCGTGCACCAAGCCAAGCCGTAGATGACAACATTCCGTCAGCAAAGGTTTCGGGAACAGTAGCGACAATCCTCCCCACACATACTCAACCGTATAGAGCCACCAACTCAGCATTCACATCAACTTCCAACCACTAACACTCCCTTACGTCCGACCGCCAAACCTAAACCGTTCATCGTCATTGATGACGATGAGAACGGGCACGAACTTCACCCCCGACTGGATTCGACAATCCCACTTTTTTCCGATGTACAATCACGAGGCGCTGCGAACGCGTTCCGTCGGTTCGTTAGCATTGACGAGTATCATCGAAACCACTGTCGCTCCGTACAATCTGGAAAAGAAGCGACAGGATCGCTTGCAAGTACAGGAACTGCCGTCCTGAAAGCGATTTACGGCAACATATAATGAGGCAGTCAACTACTAAGCAGGAAAAACTGGCAATTATTCTACCAGGAAACAAGGAATAATTATAGACCTAGTAGGAATAGTTATAGCTCTGGTTTCAGATGCTTCCATCAGTCAAGTTCTCTAAAGAACCGCAGCGATGGCTCCGAATTTTGTGCTGTATAGGTTACCATTCGCAACACTCTCGTCTGTGCTTCGTGAATCCCCCTGACCACCAATAGTCATCGCCTGCTCTCTGCAACGGAGGGTTTTCATGCCCACCCAAGAAAGTAATGTTGACGGAAAATGGACGGACGGACGCTGTTTCCCTACCAGAATAATTGTCGGACCGGAACCGGGGCACCCTTCGAACCGCAGATGATCCGAACCAGATGCAGTTGCACTACATAACACTGTTATGGTCGGTGGCAGCCATGTCAATCGAGCGGATGGTGTGCTTCGTGCCTGGGACGGCATGATTGCGGTGGCACGGTAAAGCAGTTACTTTCACTGTCCACCACACCGCACCACACAAGGCACGCACGCACACGCTGTGATCGTGCAAATCACATCACGGTCGCCCGCTCGTGCATACGTCGCAAAGACACTTGCGGACGCCTGGTGCAGATCGTTCGTGCGACGCCAAACGCGGTGCTGGTTCGGAAGTGGGACAATTTACGAAAATTATGTTGTACAGTATTTTGCTCCGACCCATATCCATTTTCACACACTCTAAGAAATTCTGTTTAACTAAACGTGGCGACAGCTATTACCAGGTGTGCCACCAGGAAGTGCGTGAATACGGAAGGGTTGCGGCCCCTCCAAGCTAGTGGCTACACCAGCAATAATATTTTTATCCCAGAGTGCTAGAAAATAAAAGTAGCCAGCCGGCCGTAGCTGTAATGCCAGACAACTCACGCCAAAGCTCATGTTACAGTAAACAGTGACTCCACTACAACTCACCCTCTGAAGCTGTAGCTATGCGAAGGTAGGGCAAACTGTGATCCGCCTTAGGGCGGGTCCAGTCCAGCGCGTACGTTTACAGGTACTATACAGTTCATTCGCAGTGGTTTGAAAAAAAATCAGGCAATGCACAACGGTTTTGAAATTGCACCGTTTTAAACCGTGACGCAATACAGATTACCGCACTAGATGAACTGCTATGTACGCAAAACGTACGCGCTGGACACTATATCTAAACTGTATAAACAAAGAAATACTTTCGCTTTAGTGCATTGTATAGATAGCAAATCTCAGTACACAATTAGTTAGCTAGCAACAAGCATCAACGGGCTGGCATTTGAAATATGGTTTGCCCAGAAGTTGGCCACGGGAAGCAAGTACCGATGGCCATACCACTCCACTGCTGCCACCGCTGCATGCGGCAAGGAAGGAACAGAAGAAAAAAACCCAACAACGTATCAAACCATGAGAGGAACAATCAACAACAATGCTCGTCGTTGATAAGCCAACACATTGATAACGATGATTTAAACAACATCACTAATAAAAGCACAAATCGAGACAATATCTCCCATGCGTGTCTACTTTCCCTTGCCCAGTAAACAGAAAAGGAAAAGAACCATCAGCAAAAAGAGGGCTGATATCTGAAAGAGGAGCTTACATGTGAACGCAAAGATGGGCAGGCGTGTGAGGGCACACAGCAGAGTCCCCGACCCTCCAACGAGCCCCATGTGTCTCTGCCGCCCTTCCAGCGCCAGCTCAGCAGCCCGCTGCACTGCTGCCAGCTCAGCGCCTTCCAGCACCTTCTCCACGTCCGACCATGACAGCGGCACCATGACACGTGGCAGCACCTCATTGGCCACTGCTTCCAGCCCTCCATTCTGCCACGCTGCCTGCCCTCTAAGCAAGTGCGCCCACAGTATATCCCCCTCTCCATCCCCCCCCCCTTGCTCCCCCTCCCCAGAACCTCCCCCTGCCAAGCTGCCAGATTCACCCGAACCTGGCGGTGGACCTGCCGAGCCTGTGCCAAGCCTGACAGAGAGCCAGGGTCGGTGCAGCTGGGCACAGGCAGCGATGACTACAAGCACGCCGTAGGTCTGGGTGATGGCTGCGAAATAGTCACGTGCTGAGGGGAGGAATGGGGGGAGGGGAGGAAGGGGGGGAGCGGAGGAAGGGGGGGAGGGGAGGAAGGGGGGGAGCGGAGGAAGGGGGGGAGGGGAGGAAGGGGGGGAGGAAAGGAGGGAACAGGCATAAGATCAAGCAGCAATGACAACAAGCATACCATAGCACATCTGCCTGCGCACTTATTTTGGAATCGATCAGAAACCAACGGAATGCTGGTCTTTGGGTGCATCAAGCAGAGCAGAGGGCGCACCAGCCCCATCAGCAGCAGCCTTCTCCCTCACGCCCACTGCTGCGTTCAGCACATCACATCTACCTGCGCACCGACATTGAAGTCTTCACTAAAATAACGGTATACTCACTCACCCTTGGGAGTGTCCCGCAGAGCAGAGGGCGCACCAGCCCCATCAGCAGCAGCCTTCCCCCTCACGCCCACTGCTGCCTCTAGCACACCCGCACACCTACGTATACTAATACTATTGTGCACTCTCTCACCTTTTGGAGCATCGAGCAGAGCAGAGAGCGTTGCAGCGCCATCAGCAGAGGCCTTTTCCTTCACGCTCACTGCTGCCTCTAGCACATCTGCACATCTATTTTTCGAGCCGACTAAAAAGCATTGGTACGGAGTACCCACCCTTGGGATTGTCGAGCAGGGCAGAAAGCGTGCCAGTGCCATCAGCAGCAGCTTTCTCCTTCACGCCCACAGCCGCCTCTAGCACATCTGCACACCGCGCCGCTACAGCCCCCCACAACCGGACAAACGACGCCGCCTCTGTTGCAGAAACTGCCGAGAGAATGTTGTACCAGAAGACTGCCCTTCGGTGCACCAGCAGCGCTGCTGTGAGGTCCCGGGCGGCCTGATGGGGTGGGGAGGGGACACGGAGGAACGCATCAACCAATCCAAGAGCAATCAGGGGAAGGTTGGGGGGAAGGTTGGAAGAGGGTCAAGCAGAAGACAGCCCTTTGGTGCATCAGCAGTGCTGCTGTGAGATCCCAGGCAGCCTGGGGGGGTGGGTGGGAGCGCATGTGGGATGGCAGAAAGGAGGAGCTTCGATGAATGCAAGCGCAATCAGCGGAAGGTTGGGGATAAGGTTGGCATCGAACGAAGCAGAAAACAGCTTCTCAATGCCCCAGCAGCGCTGCTGTGAGATCCCTGGCGGCCTGAGGGGATGGAATGGAAGACAGGAGGAAACTTCAATAAAAACTTCAATGCCAGCAGCTCCCCCATCTCCCACACCGACCACTCGTCCCCTTCGATTCCGACCACTCCCCTTCACTGCCTGCACCTGCGTCCCCTGCTCACCAGGTCACAGATCTCCGCTTGTTTGAACTCTCCATCGAATGCAGCAGCCCTGGCGTCCCCCTTGCTGCGACCCAGCAGCTCCCCCATCTCCCCCACCGACCGCTCGTCCCACCGCAGTGACGCCAAGTCCCTCCCCCCCCGCTTGCTGCCTGCCACTGCCTCGCCTGTAGCAGGGGCTCCTGCAGCTGCAGCAGACAGGGTGAACAGAGTGAACAGATTAGGCAACAGATAAGGCGTCTCCCTTGCTCCGCCCCAGCAGCTCCCCCATCTCCCCCACCGAACGCTCGTCCCACCGCAGAGACGCCAAGTCCCTCCCCCCCGGCTTGCTCTCGGCTGTAGCAGGTGCTGCTCCTGCAGCTGCAGCAGACAGGGTGGGACAGGGTTAGACAGAGTGAGCAAAGTCAACAGATTAGCCGCACCTCCCCCATCTCCCCCACCGAACGCTCGTCCCACCGCAGAGACGCCAAGTCCCTCCCCGGCCTGCTCTCGGGAGCGGCTTCAGCTGTAGCAGAGCGAGTCAACAGAGGCAGATTCAGCAAAGTCAACGGGTTTAGAGGAGTCGATCAAATAGATCCAGCAGAGTCAACGGAGTCAACAGAGTCAACAGAGTGACGAATCACGACCAGGTATTTTATCCAAGCACCTTCCTCTGTCTTGGTCACACCGCCCTCAGTCCCTTCCAGTCCAGACTCCCCGCCGTCCGCCCCGCCGTCCATGCCTGCCAGGCCATCTTGGGTGGCTGCTTTGTCACCATCAGCTGTATCCTTGTCACCTTCGGTCGCTGCCACGTCAGCTTCTTTATCCACGTGTCGAATCTCCTCTCCTCCCGTTGGTACTGGCGGGGCTGAATGCGCCTGCATTCTCCTCTCCCTCCAACCTTCTACCGCTGCTGGGCTGCCCAAAACGGTCTCCATGCGCTGCAGGAGCAAGAACAGAGAAGCAAGGAAGAGAGCAAAGAACGAGATGAAGTCCGGTCAAGGCTGGTGGCACTGAAAGCGCCGCTGCGTTCCTCCTCTCCCTCCACCCTTCCACTGCTGCAGATTTTTCCCAAACACAGTCTCCATCCGCTGCAAGAGGAAGCACAGAGGACGCACAGCGGAAGCACACAAAAGCGATCAGAAGTGAGGGAGCACTCACAATTGAGGAAGAGATGAACTGACGATAACCTGGGCGCCTCGAATACCTGCCCAGCACTCTCTCCACGCACGCTGTTCATCATGTCTCGAGGGCTTAAGAGAGAGAGGGCACTGACCTTGATATCTTCCCTCACAGCAGCAGCTGCCTCCACTCGACCATCCCCCAGAGCCATGGAGTACTGCCCCTGGCAGTCAGGCAATAACTGCACCGCTGCAGCATGCAGGCGGCACGCATACGCCTCCTCCATCCGTCCCTCCCTCACCAGCTCCCCACTCAGCCGCCCAAATTCGTTCCGAGCTACGCTCTCCGCCCCTTCCGCCAGCTCCTGTAGCGTCTCCTCCCATCTCTTTTGAGAAGCCTCGTTGGGGAGGCGGATCACTGTGGGCTGAAGGACGGACTCCAGGGCGGCGGTTATGCTGGCAGTGAATACGCCCTCCCCCAGTTGAGCCCCCACGATGGGCAGCACGTGGTCTGCTGCCAGGCCCTGTAGCCCGCCCCCTGGCAGGCCGCTGCTGCGGTAGGATGCACCTGAAGCACCTGAGGCACCACCTGAAGCACCTGAAGGCCCTCCTGAGGCACCTGGGGCACCTGAAGCGCTGGCGCCGCTACCATCGCCGCCGCCACCACCGGTTCCACTACCACTGCCGTCCACTGCAGCAAAGGACAAACCCGTGCCGCCCGCAAACCCGTCACCTTGCTCCTCCCACCCTTCCCCACTCTCCCCTGACAGCGACCCCCCTACCCCTCCCCCTCCCCGCCCTCTCTGCCCCACCTGCTCACTCATCGAACCCCTTAGAGGCACATCTGTGGGGGGGGTTCCTGGGGAGAGTAGGCCGAACAAGCCGCCATACCCAGCAGCAGACGCCATTGCTAGAGGCACCCGCCCTGTTGAGAACGTCTGACCTAGCCGGCCCCCTTCCAGCCTCCCTCCTGCTCCTCCTCCTCCTCCCCCTACTCCTGCCCCCCCTCCTCCTGCTGCCGCTGCTGCTCCCCCTGTGCCTGTTGCAGTGCCTGCAGACGAGCTTCCATAGAGGGACGACAGAAGATCCATCAAGTTCCCAGACTTCCCAGTACCAGCAGCACCAGCGGAAGCACCAGCACCAGCACCAGCAGTGGTGGATACGTCCTTGGCTGTATCTGCTACTCCTACGCCTGTGCCTGTGCATGTAGCATGGTCTGATGGCTTGCTGCTGCCAGCGGACGGGAACGGCCCGAGTGACAGCTCAGCGTTCTCCAGCTCAGCAACCGCCACGTCATCCCCAAAGAGAGAGAGGGGAATCGGACCAGCAGCAACACCAACAGCAGCAGCAGACGCAACAGCCCCATCAGCAGCAGCGGCAGCATGGGTTACGGACATAGCTGCTGCCAGAGCTGCTGTTTCTGCTGCTGCCGCCACTGAATTACTCGGCACCAGCACTGGATTCGCAGCACCCGAATCATCCAGGCGAAGCGAAGGATCGGGGGTAACCGCAGTGCTGCTGAGGTCTACCCCCACAAATTCCGGGGAAGCAGAGACTGCACCCGTAGCGGCAGTATCCCCTCTCCCGCTGCTCGCACTCCCACTCACAGCAACACTCCCTGCAAAATCCCCAAAATCGTCGTCATCATCGTCAAACGAGATCTCCTTGTTTACAGCTGCTGTGGGGGCAGCAGCAGGGGGAGCGAAAGCAGGAGGCGGAGCAGCAGGAGCAGCAGCAGATGCGCCAGGAGGAGGGGCAAAGGCTCCAAAGCCTGGCGCAGAGAACTGGGGTGTTGAATCATGGAAGGGAGGGAAGGAGGAGGTAGCTGCTGCCATGCCCAGACCAGATGCTGCAGCGGGGGCAGGCGCAGCAACTGCAGGGGCGAAGGCAGCAGAGGGGACTGCCGGGGAGGAAGAGAAATCACCAAAGTCGTCATCAGGGTCGAATGCCATGGCTGCTGGTACTGGCGAAGAAAAGGACGCAGATACGGATGCCGGTACGGGTGCAGGTGCGGGAGCAGGTGCGGGTGTTGTAGGAGGTGCGGATGTGGTGGGTGCTGCAGCAGCGGCAGAGCCAAAGGCAGTAGACAGCCCAGTGCCGAAGGAGGTAAGGTCTCCAACTGCTTGATTCTCCGATGCCTGTGCAGGCTTGGGTGCCTCTGATTGCCCGCTGGTGACAAAGTCAGCAAAGTCATCCTCCTCTTGCTCCTGCTGCTGCTGCTGCTGCTCCACGGGTCCAACCCCACCTGCCGCTGCCACTGGCGCTGCTGCTGCTTCCACTGCTGATGGGGCCGGTGCTGTGGTTTGAAAGCCGGCCAGAGATATAGGACCAAGGAAGGACGAAGGTGAAGGGGCAGGAGAAGGGTGGGACAGAGCAGCAGCAGAGAAACTCGGAGCTGGTACAGTGGGAGCGGGACTATTGGTAGCATCCACCTGGGGAATATTCGCCTGTGAAAAATCCGGCTGAGAGGGAATCGGCTGGGCAGCAGGAGCAGCAGGAGCCGGAGCGAAAGAATCTGAGAAATCCCCCCACTCGTCCTCCTCCTCTACTGACCCTGCCCCTGCCGCTGCAACTGATACAGCGGCAGGCACAGCTGCTGCTGAAAGCACTGGAGCAGCGGTCACAGCAGAACCAGCAGTGGTTGGGTCAGAATCAGCAGCGATAGGAGCGACAGTGGAAGCAGCAGACTCGGTGGAGGCAGTGGGGGCTGCGCTAGCAGATGGGACGGATGAGAAGTCACCAAAGTCATCATCCTCCTCAGCATCAGCTTCAAGAGACGATCCTGCTGCTGCTCCTGGCGCTGCTGCTACCGCCTCTGCAGCTGCCGTTGATTCTGCTGCTGCTGATGCTTCTCCCTCCTGCTTACTCTCCTCCTTCTTCACCTCCTCCTCCTCCGGTTCCTCCTCCTCCCCGAAGAGCGACAGTGGGATGGGGGCAGCAAAGTTACGCGGCTGAGGAACAACCACTGCAGGCGCAGCAGCTGGTTTCTTGGCTGCTGGTGCTTCAGGTGCTGCTGCTGCTGCCACCGGCGCCGCTGCTGCTGCTGCTCCGGCTGCGGTTGCTTCCTTCGCTCCGCCGCCCACTCCTCCTGTACCTTCGCCGGGCACTGCCCCTGACACTGCACCTGGAGTTACACCTGAAGCCGCAACAGGGCCTGCACCTGGAATTCCACCTGGAGCAGCACCTGAAGAACCTCCAGGGATTGAGCCAGGAGCAGCGCCAGGCACGGCCCCTGGAACAGCACCTGGAGGCCACCAGGGCATTCCCCCAGAATAATAGGCATACTGGGGGTATTGCGGCATCCCTGATGGCATTCTTGGGGGTACTGATGCTACTGGTGCGGGGGCTGAGGCGCCAGGGGAGAGAGGTTGACCTCCTTCCTGCTGCTGCTGCTGCTGGTGCTGCTGGTACTGCTGCTGCTGCTGCTGTTGCTGCTGCTGGTACTGCTGCTGCTGCTGGTGCTGCTGCTGCTGCTGGTGCTGCTGGTACTGCTGCTGCTGGTACTGCTGTTGCTGGTACAGCTGCTGCTGGTGCTGTTGCTGTTGCTGTTGCTGCTGCTGCTGCTGCTGTTGTTGCTGCTGCTGTTGCTGTTGCTGGTGCTGTTGCTGTTGCTGTTGCTGCACGGATTCCCCCGTCGCTCCCTGGTCCGTCTCTCCCTGCCCCTTGAAGCCCTTCACGTGCATCTTCTGCGCGGCAGCCTCCCCTGCTTTCGCCAGCAGAGCACGATCCGTGCTGCCCAGCAGACTCGCAAACGCGTCAATGCCTCCTCCTGCTCCTGCCGAACCTCCCTCCGAAGCACCATCTGCTGCGGCTGATGCACCGGATTTCTGGGCGGCACCAGCGGCGGCAGCGGCGGCGGCGGCAGCTTGAGCGGCGTGCATGTGTTGCATGCTCTGCATGTTCTGCATGTTTTGCATGTAAGCGGCGTACATCTGAGGGTTGACCATAACCGGCCCTGTGGGACCCATGGCGTACATCGGATACGATCCAGGCATCTGCAAAACATTAACAAAAAACAAGTGCAATAATTTAAGTTTGCACGTGAAAATTAATGGGAAGTATAATGATCCGATAAATCAATGTCGGAGCACCGGGTCAGCCCTTTTGTATGATTATCTTATCGTTCTGATTGCAATCGCGATCGCAAGCATTTCAGGAAACGACTCTCCGAATGGCTGCCAGATTCGATGAAACGAATTCTCGATCAAGTTCCACGGGAAAAAATATCTGATCTTGGAGGCCAAAACAACATATTGACTCGGAAAGATTAAGCTACAAAAGCAGAAGTCGGCCGCGCACCTGTTGAGGGTATCCCTGCGGCATTGCACCAGCGTTCGCCACGTGTCCTCCCTGCACGTGCATCATGTGCATTGCCTGCTGGTAACCAGCTACCTGCTGCGCGTGTGCTCCTCCCTGATGCTGCTGTGACGCAGCACTCGCAGCGGCAGCATTAGCCGCAGCAGCGGAAGGATCCGCTCCCTGCGATGGCTGACTGGCCATCGCAAGTCAATCTCTGAGCTAAGAGTTCCGCAATGTGGAATAAAAGACGCAGTTTTATTTCCCGGTGAGTGAAATCAGCAGCCAGAATCGACGGGATGAACAACCGCAAGGATAGGCACTAGACTTCCTGGGACTCGTTTCAGGCACTGGCATTAATTTTGGAAGGAAGCAGGAACTAGAAGGTAGAAAAGCTGAAAGCAGCAGTTCGTGAAAATGCAATCCCAATGCCTGGTCGACTTGAACCACTGACAGATGCAGGAGGGACGCAACAGTGGTTCAGTGCAATCCCAAGGCCTGGTTCGGTTCCGATGGTGTCAGCGGGAGGAAGTGTTTGTTTTGAGGTTGGGCGGTGTTCGGTTCGGTTCAGATGGTGTCAGCCGGAGTAAGTGTTTGTTTTGAGGTTGGGCTGTGGCACGTCACAGGCACCACAGACCCCGCCCGTCACGTCCATTGCCTGAAAATTGATGCGACAGCTCAGTTGCCTGACGAGAAGGGAACGGGAAGAGAAGTGTCGACAGTGGGATTTGAACCCGCTCCCTTTCGGACAGGAATCTTAATCCTGCGCCTTAGACCATCTCGGCCATATCGACGTATTTCAAATTATAAGAAACATTTACGACTTTATGTTGACTCCTATGGTAGAGGCGGGTTCTTTGTGTTTCTCACTTTCTCATTCTAGTTTTTAGGTCAAACAATTTCGGTCAGCTTCATTCCTCGCGCGCGTACCTCCCGTCGTTTTCAAGCACTTGACTCATCTTAGGTCCTCGCTCCTTCTCACTTCTCGTAGCTCGGTTTCACTTCCTCGTTCCTAGTAGGCTCCACCTCTTCGTTCTTCTTAGGCTTCACCGTGGCTGCGTTGTTCGAAGTAGGCATTTAGGCCACTTCGTGCATTGCGTCGAGTCGAGTCGCCAAGATGATGGCCCTGTGGGAATACGTCCTTAATTGGTTACGCAGGTACGCTCACCTCGCCGTCTTCCGCGCGTCCGACCCTCGATCTTGTGTGCCAGTTTGCGACAAACTCTTTTTCGTGTTCCGAAATCCTCAAAAGCATCTTCGGGCACGCGTTGCCCTCGCAGTTATCCGTCCCGTTTATTCACGATCTTGCCTCCTAGTTTCACCGTCTATCCCGCGTACCGCCTATCCCGTGTGTGTGTCTCCCAATCTCTACCGCGTCGCAGTCTATTCTTCCAGCAGGAGATGGAGCTCTCGCTCATCGGCCTACCCTACTACCGTTCTTACATCCTGACCATCCAACCGTCCCCCTTTCCCCACTATCCCCACCGCGTCCCAGTCTATTCTTCCAGCAGGAGATGGAGCTCTCGCTTATCGGCCTCTCTCATGCGTGATGGCTTTCATTAACCGCCTGTCTTATCTCGTGTCTTTTCCCACCGCGTGTCTCCACGGGCTCGCAGTCTATTCTTCCAGCAGGAGATGGAGCTCTCGCTCATCGGCCTTCAAAACGCCGGCAAGACGTCTCTTGTTAACGTCATCGCTGTAAGTACGTTGCATGTTTGCTCGTCGCTAGAAGATCGACTATCCGTTAGCGTCAGCCGTCAGCCGTTAGCCGACCGTTGCCCTTCGACTCGCGGCGAGGATGCGGGTCCACACGGCCAGATCTTCCTGCGTGCCTTCAAACCCTTTTTGGATATCTCACGCCGCTTGTTGTTGGCGCGATCTCACGCTTCTCTTGCATCCTTTCTCTGTTTGACTGTTTCCCTTGTGCTCCTCTGACCGTCCTTGATCGTTTGCCTTGGCGGTCCTTCTTTCTGCTGTGTCCATGTGTTCCTCTTTCGTGTGCTATGGGTGTGGTGTGGCAATGCGTTCCGTCCGTTGCCTTTCCCCTCTGCGCAGACTGGCGGTTTCAATGAAGACATGATCCCAACGGTATGGTATGACATGACATGCCACTCCAGAGAACTTAGCACCGCACTGTACCACGCGTTACCCCGCAACATCCGTCGCACACCGCACCACACTCCACACATCACTGTTTCTTTCTGCATGGCAGCTGTCTCTTTCTCGACCTACCCCAGGCCGCCACGCGTCAGAAACGTCTCCCTTAGCCAATTCTCCCCTTGCTTTCTCTTTCGCTCTTTCTTTCTGTAGGTGGGCTTTAACATGCGCAAGGTGACGAAAGGGAATGTGAGCATAAAGCTGTGGGATCTGGGCGGGCAACCGAGATTCCGGAGCATGTGGGAGAGATACTGCCGAGGCGTGTCAGCCATCGTGTAAGCAGCAACAACCCCCCGCATTCCTTCTCCACGTGCTTACTCATCAGGGTTAGGCTCTGTATTCCTTGCGTGCCTTCGCCTCACCACACTATCCCCCCTCCCTCTTCCCCACCCCTCCCCAACCCCCCAAGCTCCCAATGCTCCCCCACTCTCCCTCAGCTATGGTTGATGCATCAGGCCATGACAACATCCCAGTGTGTTTTTAGGCGCTTCAAGAGCGGACGTCCCTTCACCTCAGTCCGCTTCCCCCCTTTTCCTCCCCCCTCTTTCCCCACTCTCCTCAGCTATGTGGTTGATACATCAGGCCATGACAACATCCCACTGTGTTTTTAGGCACCTCAAGAATAGAGGTGTGCCACAGAATTTCCCTTCATTCCCTCCAATCCCTCTCCTCCCACAACCGCAACGCCACCCCTCTCTCACATCCCCCAACCCCTCCCTCTCCTTTCTGTCAGCTATGTGGTGGATGCATCAGACCATGACAACATTCCAGTGTCACGCAGAGAGTTGCATGAGCTGCTCAGCAAACCGTCTCTTGCTGGAATCCCGCTGCTGCTGCTGGGGAACAAGTGCGACAAGGCAGAAGCCGTTTCACGGGATGCCCTCATTGAAGCAATGTAAGTGCTCTGTTTCTTTTGTTCTGTTCTTTCCCATTCCCTTTTTTTTCCAACAAATTTTCAATACTTCAATATTGTAAAGCTCCCTCGCTTTGGTGTTCCATTCATACAAGCTGCTTAATGAGCTGTTAATGTGCGTGGTGGTGGTGCAGGGGATTGAACCAGGTGATGCAGGGAAGGGAGGTGTGCTGCTACAGCATCTCTTGCAAGCATACGACTAACATCGATGTCGTTATTGACTGGCTGATCAAGCACGCCAAAAACAAGTCTTAGTGACTTAACGGCTGGATTTCGCCGAAGTTGGAGCATTTTTCCAACTCTTTTATGCCACGTGCCGCTTATTTTTAGAGCCCCTAACCTCTTGTATAGCCTTCTCTGTTCTTTAGAGCAAGTTATCCTATGGAGATTATCCAAATGGACACTGTTTACCTTTTTGTGGAGGAGAATTATAGTGTTATTATTCATTCACTTTGTACACCTCATCTGGTTGAAAGCAAGCCACCTGCCACGTCGACCTATCCACGCCACACCTCACTAAGCCCTGCCAGAGCAGCGCTGAAGGCTGATTCCGCTTCACCCACACCACACTACACACCACAGCACCCATCATCATCCCTTTCTTCACCTCCCCAAACCCCCTCGCGGAAATTTCAAGGTTCGCACCTTTCAATCACCTCCTGTCTCCCAGCGAACACGGACCTGTTCCTTCAGGCATCTCTTTCGTTGTCCAACCCCCCGCCCACCATGGCTTCCCTTTCTTTCGCCGCCTCCGTCGCCACGTGCCCTGCAGCGGTCGCTTCCCCGTCAACCGCGCCGGTTTCCTCGCGGCGACTAAACTTCGAGTCGGCGCACCACGTGAACAAGAAGGCGACGGGCCGCCACGTGGCGACGCGGCCGAAGAAGCACGCGGTGTGGGACAGGAAGCGCGGCGGAACCAAGGACTACGGGCCGCTGCCCGAGGCGCCTCCCGTCTGGCGTATAGAGGAGGATGAGAAGGCTCCGGCCGCTTCGTCTTAGACACATTTCTTCTATGGCGCTTCGATAGATCCTAGTCCGGGACAGCTAGCCTGGCTTACGAGTCGACTCAGAACCCTGGGATTGGTGAATATGGGGGCAATGTTCCGTGGCTGGTGATTCTCTCACTCTTTTTGACTGAGTACGAGGATGTTAAGGCTGTGTCCGATTCTTCGTAGCCACGCCAGGAGCAGGGTTTTAGACGCGTCGTAGCTGGGTGCGGCTGTTGCCGGTATTTCTTCTCATTGTTGATTCTTCCTGCCGTGTATGCGTCGTGGAATTATATTGTACTCTCGGCTTCCTTTAACTATGTCGCTTCGCTACTACCACCACTGTCGAGTCATTATGCTGTCATCCCGATCAAGAGCATTCAAATCTCCCAGACGTGTTTTCCTGACGTTTAGCCTTTCGCTTGTTATCCCTGAAGGGAGTTTCTACCACTCGAGACATTTCCGAGCCTTTTCGGAACGCGAGGTTTTTCCTTGCGCTGCATTGAAGCCTTTGCTTGTCAGTTGCATCCTTCGACTTCTCTTCCCTTCCCGCAACCATCCTTCACCTCGCATTTCCCCCACTTCCCCTTCTCGCTCGTCTCTCTTCCCCATCCCCTTCCGCACTCCCTCCCGCCCACTCCTTCTCTTCCCGTTCTCATCTTTTCCTTCCTCTCGCCTTCCCCCAGCCCTCCCTCCCTCCCTCCCTCCCTCCCTCCCTCCCTCCCTCCCTCCCTCCCTCCCTCCCTCCCTCGCTCCCTCCCCTCCTCTCCCCCTCCCCCCCCCCCCCTTTCTCCCTCCCTCCCGTTTCTCCTTTTCCTCCCATCACGTTCCCATTTTCTCTGTGCCTCCATCCCACTTGTTTGGCCCTGCTTGCTGGTCACTCAGCTTGTTTTCCATTCACTCCATATTCTCCTTGCGCTCTGCACTGTGACCTTGTGCATCCGCCGTCTGTTGATTGATACAACATAACATACCTCCCCTCAGTGTTCACCCCTTTTGTTGGCGGATGCATGTTAGAAGTTCAGGCCATGCTTCGTGCGCATCTACTATGTATTATGGGATGTTGCAAGCTCAAAAGGAATGTGTATAAGAAAAGAAAGGCCATTGCTGGTAAGCAAGAGGGCAGTGGCAGTGCTTACCATGCGAAGGGATTGAGATGGAGTAGATGAGTGGAAAGTATGATGTGACAGATCAGGTTTTCTCAGCCAAAGACAAACTATGGCTGGGTGTTTCAGTTGTCGGGTTAGCCGCCTTGTCAGCTTCAAGGGCCTTGATTCCGCCCCACACTTTAACATGTGCATTAGCCATAGCTACGGTATTGTGATGGTAATGAAGATCTGGTTTAAAAATGTTCAATTCGTTGTGATGTGCAATTGCGTTACATAATTCCTGATTGGTCCAACGGCAACACTGTACATGACACCCTAACTCCCAAACGAAATACTGTACAACATGCAGCATCCGATCGGAGCTCAAAGCCATTTCTGCGTCCTCCGCATACCAGCGTCAGGCAGTCCCTCCGCCACACCCTTTCATCTCCCCCCCAATTCTTTCCTTCCCCCTCCTGCCATTTTCCGACAGACGGGGATCTGCGCGAACATTTCAAGGTTTCGCCTCACTCCTGGAGTAGCGGGGAGGGGAAAAGGGGGACGGGGTGCGGGGAGGCCTTTCCGCCATCCGAGTTCCAGAATCCAGAATCTGGAAGAGTTGCAGGAATGGATAAATCAGTAGGAGATACTATTTCGCCCGAGTTTTAGGTTCCCAATTTTATGCTTAGTTTCAGTTAGGAGGTTTATGGCCAGGAGTGAGGTTCTGACCGACTGGTCGTGCCGGTCCGGGTTCGTCGTTAATCATTAGTTCCATCAGTTATTTTGTCGCTTGAATGCATGGCGAATTTCCGTTCCGTCTGTACCAGTAAGAAACAGCAGCGCATACGCTTCACCTCGATACGTTCAACTTGATGCTTTCCATTTGAACCCTGTTTCTAAATCCTCAGCCGAAGGCAGTTTGCAGTCGCATTTTCAGACTTAGAACCACCCAAGGACGATTAAATATATCCATCAGGGCTGAAGCTGTCAGTCACCTTAGAATCTATTCATCCGAATTGAACCTATCAGTCAGTATAGAATATATCAGCCATGGCGAGCGCAGCTTTGTTTCCGTCGCTCGCAGCGGCGTCGCGGGAGCCTCCGGAAGTCGTGCTGAGCAGAGTGCGCGAGTTGGTGCTGCAGATCGTGGCTGGCGGGAACCACCCCGAGACGAGTCTGTTGCATCAGCTCGCCGCGATCATTGAAGATGAGGAGCAGTGGTGAGATTTCGTCCCATGCCTTTCTCTCCCTCCCTTCCATTTTCTCGTAAATTGTATTGTTCTGATTTAGTTGTTTCCCTTTCCTCTCCTTTCCTTTACGCATGTATTCTGCTGACTGTGTAGTAAATCGCGCAAAATTTCTCCCCTTATCCGTACTCCTGGCGCGTGTTTCAATTCCTCAGGTACCAGCAACAAGCGGGTTTTTCCTCGTCTAATCTCCGAGCCTCGTACACTATCGGACGAATTGTCAACTCTCTGCGCGTACGTCAATTGTCCCTTAACACGCGTCGTACCTTTTCATCGAATCCATTCCACTCACTTTCCCTTCATTTCCTGTACAAATCGGCTGTTATTTGTCACGTGTGCACCTCCCTGTAGCACCTGTTATTTGTCATTCTTCTTGTGAACATTTCATACTCGCACTTGCTACTGTCCTTGTAGCACCTGTTATTTGTCATTCTTGTGACAGGTTTCTCACGTTTCCTGAGTTCCACGTTGCCTGAAGCGGCAGCTACCGTTTATGGTTCATATGCCGGACGTTCTGCAAGCTCCCGAACAAAGCACGTCCACCCCAACCAAGCACCTCCCCTCCTCCCATCCCCCGCTGTTCCCGCCAGAAGGACGGCGATCTGTACGAACCAAGCCGCTGCTTTCTGTGTCGACTCGGAAGTCAGTAAACAACCACCTCACACCCACCCGCACCACCCCACAACCTCACTCAATTCGTCCTTCCCTGCTCCCGCCAGGAGGACGACGACTTGTACGAGCTGCTCACATCGAAGCTGCTGCTTGTTGAAGCCGCTCAAAGTTCCCCCCTAACAATCCCCCCCCGCTCCCCCACATCCCCCAATCCTTCCCTGCTTCCGCCAGGAGGACGACGATCTGTACGAGCTTCTCACGTCGAAGCTGCTTCTCCAGTCGTGGCGGTCGCAGGAGGAGCGAGCAGCGGGAGCTCGCCTGCTGCTCTCCTGCGCGATGAGCTTCGTGGTGAGTCTTTGGGTGTTAAACCCGCGTGGAGAGTTCTTTACTTTGGGTTTTCGAGCTAGTCATTGCCTGGGCGCCCTCCCTACTCGCCCAGCCCGTTTATGAAATGCGCTTCCGCATGCTTTTTAGCTCAATTGCTCCTCGGGTTTCCTTACACCCTTCCTCCCCTCCCTCCACCCTCACCACCAAAACCAAACCCACTGGGTTTACGCCACACATTACCGTGGGGTGTTCGAGGAGGGCATTCTCGAGCGGGTGATTGCCTGGGCGGCCCTCTCTTATCACCTTTCCCAACACCCTTCCCCCCCACCATCCACCCACCTTCTCCCCTCAAACAAAGCCCACTGGGTTTACGCCACACAGTACCGTGGGGTATTCTCGAACGAGTGATTGCCTGGGCGGCCCTCTCCACTCGCCCCGCCCCTCACTTGCTCGTCTTCTTTCCCCTCTCCGCCCTCCTTTCACACCACACAGTACCGTGGAGTGTTCAAGGAGGGTATTCTCGAACGAGTGATTGCCTGGGCGGCCCTCTCCACTCGCTCCTCCCCACCCCCTGCTCTTGCCACTGCCACAACCGCTGCTGCTGCCGCTTCTGCTGGCGCTGCTGGTGGCGCCGGGGGCACGCAGGAGGAGGAGGAGGAGGAAGAGGAGGAGGAGGACGCGGGGGAGGAGGGTCAGGGGGGGGATCGGGGCGGAGCGGGAGGAACCGGGGCTGGCGGCGCTGCTGCTGCTGGTGCTGCTGCGGGTGGGGGTGGGGGTGTTGGCGTGGGTGGTGCTGGTGGTGGTGGTGTGGGTGCGAGGGCGAGAGCATCGGCTGTTCTGGCGACGGACATGCTGAGAACGTTCTCGACCGGACTCGTTGCTGTTGCTCTCGCCTCGTAAGTGTTTGAGTTTCCAGTTTTGAGAGGTCTCTGTTAGAGCATCGGCTGTTCTTGCGACGGACATGCTGAGAACGTTCTCGACTGGACTCGTTGCTGTTGCGCTACGCTCGTAAGTACCCCACTTACCTCGTCGTCACACCTTGAGGAAACCCTGTCTTTCTTCCTTCTCTGCCTACTAGAGCAGCAACGAGGCGGTTGTGGAGAACGTTCTGCGCACAGGCCTCGTGCGTGCAGCACCGTGATCCTTCAAACCCCGCATTTCTAAGTTTCCACATCCCTAATTCCCCCCCAAACCCACAACCCCCCTCAAACTCTCTGCCAGCAACGAGGCGGCAGTGGAGCAGGTGGTGCGCAATGGCCTCGTGCCCCACCTCGCCTCTTCATTCCTAGGGTTCCACATCCTTACTCTTTTCCCAACCCAAACCCTAACCCCACCCCCCTCCAGCAACGAGGCGGCGGTGGAGCAGGTAGTGCGCACAGGCCTCGTGCCCCACCTCGCCCGCCTGCTGCGCAAGCGAGTGCTGGGACGCGCTGCTGCTCCCGCTGCAGGGGGAGCGCGAGGCGAAGGGGGAGCCGCAGGGGGAGCAGGCGCAGGGGTAGCAGGAGGAGCAGCAGGAGCAGGAACAGGAGTAGGAGGAGGAACTGGGGCGGGGGTTGTGGGAACGCCAGGGAGCAGAGGTAGCAAGCTGCGTAGTGTGAGTAGCAGGGGCGAGAGTAGCGCGGCTGCTACCACCGCTGCTGCTGCCGCAGCTGCAGCTCAAATTGCTGGATTAGCAGCGGAGGCGCGAGCAGCAGGTTTAGGGGTCGGGGAGGCGAGAGCAGCAGAAGAGAAGGGAAAGACAGAGGCTGTAGGTGAAGGGGTGGGGAGCGGAAACGCCACGGCACAGGGGGATGTTTTGATGACTGCCCCTGCAAAAGCTACGCCCAATCCCCTTTCCCCGTTGGGAAAGCTGAGAGACTTAGGAGGGGGAGGAATGGCAGTGGAAGGGGGGAGAGAGGAGCTGGGAAGCAGGAGTCGAGGGGGAGGGGGGGGTAGGAAAGCTGGGTTGAAAGGGAGCAAAGCAGAACAGGGCGCAGGGAAGGGCAAGCATGCTTCCGCCACTGGAATTGGCGGGTCCGAGGTTGAGGGGTCAGGGTTTGGGGGTTCAGGGGCTGGAGGCTCTGGGGGTTCAGGGGTTCCCGGGGGTTCTGAAGTTAAGGGTTCTGTTTTTGAAAGTTTACTTCCTCCTCCGAAATCTGTTAACGTTGGAGCTGTGGATATCACTGAAGCGGTTGCAGTCGCTTGGGAGGCAGCGAGAAGGGAAGCGGAAGCGGCGAATGCTCCAGCTGACGTGGTGGCTGCTGCAGTGGAGGCAGCAGCAGAGTCGGTGAGGCAGGCTGCTGCTGATGCGTTGGAAGGGGGTGGAGGAGACGAGGCTGTTGCTGCTGCTGCCAGGAGCGCTGCTGATGCTGTGAGACAGGCTGCACAGGCAGTGAGCGGGGCAGGGAGTGGGGCAGGGAGTGGGGCAGGGAGTGGGGCAGGGAGTGGGGCAGGGAGTGGGAGCAAGGGCACGGCTCCAGATGCTCCAGGCGCCTCTATCCCGGAAGCTGCAGCTGCTGCAGGTGCAGCAGCAGACATGGCATCAGGGGAAGAATCCGGTAGAGCAGCCAGCGTAGCAGAGCAGACCCCACAACCCACCACCCCAGCACCCTCACAGGACCCTACCTCCCCACCATCCCTATCCCACGCCCACCCCACCACCCCCACCGCCCCCACCGCCCCCACCGCTCCCTCGGTTCCATCCTCCGTTCCAGCTGTTCCTGCACGGCCTGCATGGCAGCTGACTCGGCCGCAGCTTGCGCAGCTGAGGGAGTGGTACGCGGTGCAGACGCTGGCCGCACTGGGCGAGTACATGGAGGTGCTGTGTCCCGTGCTGCATGAGAAAGGGGTTGATGTCTGCCTTGCTCTGCTCAGACGCGCCACACCTGGGCCTGCAGGGGTCGAAGGGTCTGTTGCGGCTGCTGCTCCTGGTGTGGCCGGTACAGGTGCCGGTGGTTCTGCTGCCGCTGCTCTTGGCGCAGGGGATTCCACAGCAGGTGGAGCGGCAGTGGCAGGAGCAGCAGCAGCAGCAGCAGCGGTGTCCAGTGGGCCGATGAGTGTGCTGCTGCTGGCGGACGTGTTGAAGCTGGTGTGTGCGCTCACAGCGCACCGCAAGTTCGCCACGCTCTTTGTGGACCGCGGGGGCGTGCAGCTGCTGCTCTCCCTCCCCCGCGTGCCCCACACGCTGCCCGGCCTCGCTGTTGCATTCTTTGCCCTCGCCTCCATTCAGGTATGCCACAGCAAGGCCAGGGGTAACATTCCCACATCTTTGCCCCTCCTCCCTCCCCACCTCCCTGCCCACCTTCCTGGTCTCCCCGCTTCTCCACCTCCCTACCCTCCCCGCTCTCCTCGCCTCCCTCCTCTTCTCTCGTTCTTCCCGCTTCCCTCGCTGTCGCCTTCTTTGCCCTCGCCTCCATTCAGGTAACTCCCCGCTCCCCCATTCTTCCTCTCACCTTCGCCTCTTTCCCCCACAACACCCCCCATCCCCCCTCCCTCTCACAGAGTGTCATGGAGCGAGTGGCGTCCCTCCCCCAGCCATTCATCCGCTCTCTCATCTCAGCATCTCTCCACCTGCTGCTGTTCCCCCCTCTCCCCCTTGTTCCTTCTCCCCCCCTCTCTCTCCCTTCCCCCACCAGAGTGTCATGGAGCGAGTGGCATCCCTCCCCCAGCTAGTCATCCGATCTCTTATCTCATCAGCCCTCCACCTTCTCCTCTGTCCACTCGACCATGCCCGCCGCAACACGGCGCTCTTCTTTGCCGCCTCCCTCGCCTTCCCGCGCCTGCTCCACGAGTTCGACGCCCAGGGAGGGTTCCCCGCCCTCATTGCTCTGCTCAGAAACGCTGCTCAGTTAAGGTCGGGGGGCGGTGGGGGAGGGGCGCTGGGCGCGAGCGTGGGGACAGGGGGAGCGGGAGTGGGAAGAGGGGGAGGAGTGGGAGGGGGAGTGGGAGCAGCGGTGGAGGGAGGGGTTGAAGCGGGGGAGGTTGGGTTGGGCAGAGGGGGTAGGGGGAGGGGAGGGGTAGGAAGGTTAGAAGAGGGTGGTGGTATCGGGGGCGGCTTGGGTTTGCCGTTTCCTCTGGGTGGGGGAATGCACTTTGCTGCTGGGACTGCTGCTCGTGGAGGCACAGAACCAGGTTCAGATTCTGTAGGTGGATCAGCAGGAGGAGCAGGGGGAGCAGGAGGAGGAGGAGCAGCTGCAACAGCACTACCAAGTGTCGGCGGTAGCAGCATCAGCGCAGGCGGCAATGGCACTGGCAGCGGCACGATGACATGGGAGGTGTTGACGCCGGCAGGGAGGCAGGTGGCTCACAACACGTGCATTGCCCTGCGGCAGTACATGCGCGTGCACCTCGTGCTGCATCTCGAATCGCTGCACCATGCTTCTGGTGCTTCTTCTTCTTCTGGTGCCACTTCTGGTCCCTCTTCTGGTGCCCCCGCATCGGCACTCTCCTCCCGCCACCGCACCCACCGCCCGGCTGCTGCTGCTCCTCCCCCTCCCCCTACCTCTGCTCCTCCTGCCGCCGCTGCCACCGCTGCCGCTGCTGCCACCGCTGCCGCTGCTGTTGCAACTGCTTCCTCTGCTCCTCCTGCTGCCTCAGAGCCGCCTCAGAAGCCGTCGCACCACACGCGGAGTCTCACCAGAGCGGTCGATTCCAGTGCACAGGCGGTGGAGGGGTTGATGGAGGCGCTGATGGTGTCGGACCGGCGCCTGGCGCACGCCTTCGTGCGCTCGCGATGGGGCGCTGCTGAGAGACTCGTGGAGGAGGGGGCAGTAGACGTGCTGCTGGAGCTCTGCCAGGTGGGTTCACACGACTGGGTTCAGGGGTTTGTGTGTGGGTAGGAGTCAGGTCTTAGAGCTCATATGGAGTGACCCTTTCTCGTTGTTTCCCCTCTCTTCCCGAACCCGTTGTTTTCTCACTGTAGCTGCTTATCACCACTTTCCTATTTCAACACCCCAAACCCCACCCCTGAAACCCTAATCCTTTTCCTTGCAGTTCCTTCCAGGAGAGCGCAGCACGGGAGAGCTAGCAGAGCATGCACTAGGAGTGCTCACGTGCTCACCCTCGCACCCTTCACCCACCGCCACGCGTGCTCCCCTCTCTCTCCCGAATCCTAATCCTTTTTTCTACAGATCCCTCCAGGAGAGCGCAGCACGGGGGAGCTAGCAGAGCACGCCCTGGGAGTCCTCCACGTGCTCACCCTTGCGCCCACTGTGCTCTCCCCCTTCTGAACCTGCAGATCCCCCCAGGGGAGCGCAGCACGGGGGAGCTAGCAGAGCACGCTCTAGGCGTCCTTCACGTGCTCACCCTGGCGCCCTTCACGCACCGCCACGTGCTCTCAGCGCGAGTCGCCTCCCACCGCTGCGGTATGCCCGTGCTGCTCGACGCCTCGACACTCACCTCTCTGTCTGCTCCCTCCGCCCCACGCACCCATCTCCAAACCCCTCATTGGAAACCCGAATCCCCTGCAGATTCCCCCAGGTGAGCGCAGCACGGGGGAGCTAGCAGAGCACGCGCTAGGAGTCCTCCACGTGCTCACCCTCGCGCCCTTCACGCACCGCCACGTGCTCTCAGCGCGCGTGGCCTCGCACCGCTGCGGCATGCCCGTGCTGCTCGACGCTGCCAGCGGGGCTCTGCTGCCCGATCCCGAGGTCATGCAGATCGCACTGCTTGTGGTGGTGAATCTTGTGTGCCCATTCCCGACGTATTGCTCCGTGGTGAATAGTCGGAGCGCAGCTCATGCTGCTGCTGGTGCTGGTGCGAATGCTGCTGGCGGTGCTGCTGCTGGTGGTGCGAGTGTTGGTGCTGGCGTGGGTGGTGCTGCTATTGCTACCCCGAGTTCAAGCCGTGCGCTGCCACGCATCACCGAAGGGTCTGAGGCGGGGCCACAGCAGCAGCAGCAGCAGCCGGACGCATTTTCTACACCTGTGCGTGCAACCCCAGCAACAGCTCAACAAGCAGCAGCAGCAGCAGCAACAACCGCAACACCAGCTGCAGCAACACCCGCAACACCAGCAGCACCTGCACCTGCCACAGCACCGCCCTTAACCCCTCAGGACCGCAGAATGCAGCCCTTGGGACTAGGCCTGGGCGCAACAGGCCTAGCAGCTTACATGGAGCAGGGATACAAGCAAGCTAGGGACGCTCTTAGAGCCAGCAACGGCATCAGAGTGCTCTTGCAGCTGCTGCACTGCAAACCGCCCCTCCCTCCGCCTTCGGCGGATTGCATTAGAGCACTTGCCTGCCGGGTGCTGCTGGGTCTCGCTAGGGATCCCGCCCTGACGCATATTCTGACGAAGCTGCAGCTCGGGCGGCAGCTTTCGGATCTTCTGCGGGACGTGTCGGCTGGGTTGCCGTCTGCGTCTGTGCAGCATCAGCAGCACCACCACCGCCATCATCACCAGCAGCAGCCGAATCAGCAGCAGCAGAATCGTCAGCAGCATCACCACAGGGGATCGAGCGGCATTGGGTTGCAGGCTCTGCATGCTCGGTGGTTGCACGAGTTTCAACAGTCGGCTCTTGAACTTATCTCTGTAAGTTATCCACCCATCACACCAAGTAGCTCTCATTCACCAGCATCACCAGCACCACCACCATTGGGGATCGAGTGGCATGGGGTTGCAGGCTCTGCATGCATGAGTTTCAACATGAGTTTCAACAATCGGCTCTTGAGCTCATTTCAGTAAGTTCTGCACACATCACAGCAAGTTTTGAGGCGCCTCAATTTCTTTTAGCTTTGTCTTATGAGGCGCCTCAAAAGTAAGTTCTGCACACATCACAGCAAGTCACGTGTTCAAATTTGCCAACGGTGCGGTCGGTGAACATTTTGGTAAGAAACATTTAGGAGCTCTCGCTCTCATTGTAAACTGTAAGAACAACATTGTGACCTCTCTCTCTTCCCCCGGTCTGTCCCCACCTCTCTCCTCGCCTCTCTTTCCTATCTGCTTAATCAGCTCACCACGAGTGCAGGCAAGGCAACAACAGCAGCAGCCACGGAAGCAGCAGCGCTCCCCATCTTCTCTTTCTCTTGCCTTTCCTTTCCTTCTGTGCTTTTCCCCCCTCAGCTCACCACAAGTGCAGGCAAGGCGACAACAGCAGCAGCCACGGAAGCAACAGCGCCCACACTCAAGAGGCTGGAGCGAGCTGCCATTGCTGCTGCCACCCCCATCAGCTATCCACCGAGGTAAGATTTGATATGCATACAATGAGGTTTTGGTGCGTCTGGTAAGGCAACAACAGCAGCGGCCACGGAAGCAACAGCGCCCACACTCAAGAGGCTGGAGCGAGCTGTCATTGCTGCTGCCACCCCCATCAGCTATCCACAGAGGTAAGATTTGATATGCATACAATGAGGTTTTGGTGCGTCTGGTAAGGCAACAACAGCAGCGGCCACGGAAGCAACAGCGCCCACACTCAAGAGGCTGGAGCGAGCTGTCGTTGCTGCTGCCACTCCCATCAGCTACCCGCCCAGGTGAGACTAGATACAGTCAGGTTCTGAGGCGACTTATAAGGCGACAACAGCGGCAGCCACGGAAGCAAGGGCGCCCACACTCAAGAGGCTGGAGCGAGCCGCTATTGCTGCTGCCACCCCCATCAGCTACCCGCCCAGGTGAGTAAGGTTAATCCTGGTCAACCTTTGATCTCTCTTCCCATCCCTCTCCATCATCCCCCTGACGGCCAGCTCCTTCAACTGATACACGCCCATTCAAAATAAGAAGGTCTTTTATCCTCAATCCCATCTCCCTCCTCATCCCTCACCATACCTCCCCATCCCCCTTACAGTGAGCTCCTTCAACTGATACACGCACATCTGGTGTCAGAAGGCCTACACCAGTCAGCAAGCCAGCTGCTAGCAGAATCAAGCATCACCCCCCTCGTCGCCACCCCCGTTCCCTCCTCCTCTCCCGCCGCCCTCCAATCCTCCTCTCATACTCCCTCCGAAACTTCCCCCAATCGCCACCTCCCCCACGCTCTCACTGCCCCTCCCCCTCCCCTTCCGCCATCTGTCTCTGCTGCACCGATTGCAACGTCAGCAGCAGCGCCAGCTGGCGGTTCCGGATTGGCTGCGGAGGCAGCAGGGGGTCTGAGCTGGCCTAAGGGGAAAGCAGGATGGTTCTTCTCTGCTGGAAGGAAGGGTGAAGGGAGAGGGGAGAAGGGGGACAGAGGGGGGAGGGGAGGTAGGGGGGGAAGGGGTGGAAGGGGGGATAAGGCCGTGGAGGGAGGGGAGAAGGGGGCAGGGAGAGGAGAGAGGAGTGCAGCGCGGCAGAGAGTGGTGGGAATGGATGCAAGTGGGGCGAGTGGGAGTGGGGTTTCAGGGGAGGAGGAGGGGCAGATAAAGAGGCGAATTTTACTGGGAAGTTCCCTGGCAGAGAGGGCTAGAGGGAAAGGGGAGAGCAGGGGGGGAGAGAGCGAGCATGAGGAGCAGAGAGGGACGGGAGGCGCACCGTTGAGCAAAGAAGTGCCGAAGTCAGGGGGAGGAGTGGCGAAGGGTGGGGATTTGACTGGTGTAGGATTGACCAGTGGAGGTGGAGGCAGCAGCAGCAGTGGGGAGAGGGAGAGCACACCTGGAAGGGAGCAGATCACACGGCGTTTGTCTGGGAGAAAGCGAGGGTACAAGGAAGCTTCTGCCTCTGCGTCTGCAGCAGCGCTGCTCGTCTCTCCTCCTGCCAAACGAGCCTCCACGCTTCTCCCGCCTCTCCTCTCCCCTAGTCCTTCCCTGCCTCTGCAAAGTGGTGCTGGCTCTGCAGTAGCTTCTGCAGGAGCAGGGGCAGGGGCAGGGGCAGGTACCGGTGATGCTGCTGATGCTGGTGTTGGTACTGGTGGGGATGGTTCTGGTGGTGGTTCTTCTCCTGCGGCTGCTGTTGCATCTGGTGAAGCATTTGCAGGATCTGCTGTATTAGAGGAGCCTGTTCCGTGTTCAGGTGGAACTTCAGGTGGAACCTCAGGTGGAACCTCAGGTGCCGCAGAGGACAGCTTGGGCCAGGCGCTAGCGGCCCCTGCACCAGCAGCAACCGCCCCGACCCCACCCGCAGCAACCGCCCCGACCCCACCCGCAGCAACCGCCCCGACCCCACCCGCAGCAACCGCCCCGACCCCACCCGCAGCAGCACCACCTCCCCCAGTTCTACCTCCCCCTGGCGAGCTCAGCACAACCCTGGACGGAATCGTCACATCGTATCTGAAGCAGCAGCACAGGCAGTGCCCCGCGCCCATCACCACCCTCCCGCCCCTCTCCCTCCTCCACCCCCACACCTGCCCCGAGCCTCTCCGCTCCCTCGACGCTCCCTACAGTATCACCCGCCGTCTCGCCGCCCGGCAGCGCCGCCCGCCCGCAGGCGGGTGGCAGGGGCGGCGGCTGGATCGGCAGCTAGTGTACAGCCGGTTCCGCCCCTGGCGAACCTGCCGGGAAGATGCGGTTATGATCACCAGTGCTTGCTTCCTGCTGGGGGCGGGAGGGGCGGGTGGGGGCGGCGGTGTGTGGGGGTTCGGCGGGGGGGGCGCCGGGGGCGTTGGGGGATTCGGCGGGGGCAGGCGATGCTTAGCAGTGGGGACGACTGCAGGGGAGATAAAGCTGTTTGACGCGGAGGGGGGCGTGGTTGTGGATAGCTACTCCTGCCACCAGTCGTCGATCGTTTCAGTGTTTTCGGCACCGAGACCGGGGTATGATGATGATGACAGGGGGTTTGTGGGACGGGGGCGGGGGAGACAGCAGCAGGAGGACTTACAAGACGGGGTATCAGCAGCAGGAGGGGTAAGGGTAGGAGGAGGAGCAGCAGCAGGAGGAGCAGGAGCAGGAGGTGCAGGGGGGTCAAGCTCATCAGCAGCATCAGCAGCGTACGGAGCAGCATCCTGCCTCCTCCTCTCCTCTACCCGAACAGAAGTGAAGCTCTGGGATGCAGCAGACCTCTCGCTAGGTGCCATCCACACCTTCCCCTCCTGCCGCCTCGGCCGCTTCAGCCACTCTGCTCGCACCATCGGTGCAGTGCGGTGCGACGGGCAGTCGAGGGAGTCGAGAGAGGTGCTGCTGTACGACGTGGCGACGGGCAGACTGCAAGAGACGCTCAGAGAAGCGCCCATTGCTGCTGCTGCTGCTGACTCATACGTCAGTGCTGCTGGTGGGGCTGCTAACGCTGCTGGTGTGGTTGGTTGGGGGGGTGTGGGTGGTGGGGTTGCTGGTGGGGGTCTGGGAGGCGGGCGCGGTGGGAATGGTGGCTTCGGTGGTCTATTTGGTGGTTACGGCGGTTACAGTGGGTTCGGAGGGTTCGGAATCGGCCTTGCTGGCGCTGCCGGTGCCACTGCTGCAGCTGCTACCGCTGCTGGTATTGGCGGTGCTGGCATGGCAATGATGGGTGGAGGAGGAGGAGGCGGAGGGGGAGCGGGGGTGAGTCGCACGTTGGGGTCCCAGGCGGTGCATTTCTCCCCGTTGGACGATCTGCTGCTGTGGAAGGGGTTCCTGTGGGACCCGCGGATCAGCGAACCTGTTCACCGCTTTGACCAGTTCTCGGACTATGGAGGGGGGGGCTTCCACCCTTCAGGCAACGAGGTGAGTGGATTGGAGGGGTGGGTTTCCTGGAGAGTCTAGAAATAAGCAGCGAGCAGTGGTGGCTGCTGTGGAAGGGGTTCCGGTGGGACCCGCGCATTAGAGAGCCCGTGCATCGCTTCGACCAGTTCTCAGACTGTGGAGGAGGGGGCTTCCATCCTTCAGGCAACGAGGTGAGCGTGTGGGGAGGAGGGCTTTCTGGGGAATCTAGAAATGAGCAGCCAACTGAAATGGCTGCTGCTTTGGAAGGGGTTCCTGTGGGACCCGCGGATCAGTGAGCCCGTGCATCGATTCGACCAGTTCTCGGATTACGGAGGAGGGGGCTTCCGCCCCTTAGGCAACGAGGTGAGTGGATTGGGTGTTGTTTTGTCTGCTTCACCTAGAAGTGAGCAGCAAGCAGGGGCGTCCACCCTTCCCTCTCCTCATCCTGTCCCTCCGCTCCCCTTCCTGCCCTTCCCCCCCGGAGATCATTAACTCGGAGGTATGGGACCTGCAAACACGACTGCGAACACGGAAGCTTCTGCGCAGCATCCCGTCCCTCGACCAGACCTCCATAACATTCAACGCCACAGGCGAAGTCATCTACGCCACCCTCCGCCGCACCACCGACGACCTCCTAGCAGCCCTGCACGGGCGCCGGCGCAAGCACCCACTCTTCTCCGCATTCAAAACCATCTCCTCTCTCTTCTCACCCTCTCTCCCGCCATATCCCTCCGTTCCCCCTTCCTCTTCCGCCCTGTCCCCCCTCCTCCCGTTCCCCCTCCACCAGGTGATCATCAATTCGGAAGTGTGGGATCTCCGGACAAGGAAGCTTCTGCGCAGCATCCCGTCCCTGGACCAGACCTCCATAACATTCAACGCCACGGGGGAAGTCATCTACGCCACCCTACGCCGCACCACCGATGACCTCCTAGCAGCCCTGCACGGGCGCCGGCGCAAGCACCCGCTCTTCTCTCCCTCTCCTTCCCTGATCCAACCTCTCCCCCCGCTCCCCCCTCCTCCCTCTCCCCCTTTCCCCCTGCCCCCTTCGCCAGGTGATTATCAACTCCGAGGTGTGGGACCTTCGAACGAGGAAGCTTCTGCGCAGCGTCCCGTCCCTCGACCAGACCTCGATAACATTCAACGCGACAGGCGAAGTCATCTACGCCACCCTCCGCCGCACCACCGACGACCTCCTAGCAGCCCTGCACGGCCGGCGGCGCAAGCACCCTCTCTTCTCCGCGTTCAAAACCATCGACGCGACCTCGTACACTGACATCGCAACCGTTAATGTCGAGCGCTGCGTGCTCGATCTCGCCGTTGAACCGACCGATGGGTATGTGGCTGCAGTGGTGGTAGACGAGCATGGGGAATCTGATTCTGTTGCGAGACTGTTCGAGGTTGGGCGGCAAAGGGTGGTGGAGGAGTTGGGGGATTATGATGGGGAGGATGAGGGGGAGATGGAGGATGAGGGAGATGAAGGGGAGGAGGAGGAGGATGAGGATCAGGAGGAGTTGGATAGTATAGAGGAGGAGCTTTTTGGAGGGTTTTCCGAGGATGTGGATGAGGAGGAGGATGAGGATGGGTTTGGGCAGCCGAGGGTGAGGGCTGTAAGGGGTGGTGGGCGTGGGGGGTTGATGAATGGGGAGGTGGAGGAGGGTGAGTATTTGGGGAGTGATTCGGAGGATGATGAGGAGGCGGCGCAGGAGCTTATGGATTTGATAATGGAGGGACCGTCGGATGAGGATCCGGATAGTTTTAGTGATGAGGATGATGATGATGATGATGACGATGATACAGACGAGGGAGATGATGAGGATTTAGATTATGAGGATGAAGACTGGGATTCGGAGGATTCGGCCCCAGACGAATAGGTTCTTAGACGTTTTTCTGTGGGGGTCATTTGTAATCTTCTGCAGTTGATGAAGCTAAGAATGGGGTGTTAGGTTGTTTTTTAGCTAAAAAATGTGGTTCGCTCATAATCATTAGTTGAAATGCTTTCCCACACTGTGTAACACTTTCACTCCATGGGTGGCTGGTTCATTGTCAGACCAAAATCCAGAGCGCGCATGCCGGTGTTCTGCACTGCTCCCTGAGGGCGCGGCTCGCCAGCAACACTTTCGGCGAGTGGCGTAAACGCAGCTTATGGTTATCTCGGCCAATCAACGCCCCCGACTCAGCAAAAAGCTTGGATGACGCGGAAAGATCAAGGTTCGTAAGTGGCTAAAGCTCATGTGTCGCCACAACGCCTGGAAACTTTGCAAAACCCAGCGAATCGGGCCTACTTTATCGCCGATATTGTTGTTGCTTTGCTGAGTTGGCATTGGCTTCAGTGGCTGTGTGGGCCACATTCGCCGCTGGGCAGTTCACCTGAACGAATCCACGGCTCGTGGCAAGGCCGTCCCGCAGTCGAGCGGTCTGATTGGGCCAGATCCCTCCCGGATGCTTCCCACCAACTTTTTCTGCGACCACCATCCACCGAGCACGCGAACATTTCCTCTCAGTCGTCACGACGAATGGATGCCTTCGCTCACTCTGCCACAAGCTTGCTGAATTCGTAACCGTATTTGAAGCTTCGCGAAAACCTTCGCAAGTTTTCCCCAACCAACCACCCAGGCGAGCTTCTTCCGCGTCGCGACAGAGTATGATCTGTTCAGGTCAGGCAGAGAGGGAAGCCCTGAGTATTCGCGGCTCGTCGGTTCGGTTCGGCATCAGTAACTTCGAGTCCAAGTAGCCGCCAGCTCACCCGCAGCAGCGCCCCAATTGGTTGGTGTCTTGAGCTATGGGAGCAACCAGATGCCAGACCTATCTCACTGCCCTTGCCGAATCGGTTTGGGCCACATCTTACCACCCCAGCTGGTTCGGTTTGTTCGTTCCTACTTCGTCCCTCCTCTTCCCCTCTCCCTGAATCCCTGTCCTGGAATAGCCGTTCACGCATGGCTTCTACCCCGAATTCCGATCACCCACCCACCAATTGCAATTCTCCCGTCCTCGTGTTCCCCAACCAAGCATAAACAGAACAGTTTTGCCATTCATTCATACACACAGGTGATAAATCAATTCTGTTCCGCAACGACCTTCAGACCAGTGACCGAAGGATTGAGTTGACTTAGATACAACTGCATTCTTCGAAACGGGGCCACAGGTAGATTTGCTGACTCACGTCCGCTGTCCAATTTTCCTTTTCGAAACACTCTACCCGTCTCGTTAGACTCTGACAATGGCGCCGGCTGACGGATCCCCCGCTGCCGAGCCGGCTGTGAAGCCCTCTACAACTTCGGCAGACGAAGCAATCCCCACAAACGGCAGCGCGAAGAACGGCAACGGGCGCGCGACGGCATCCGCAACTCCCGCCGCGACTTACGTCGGCTCGCTCTGCCAGCTCTCCGCACCGCTACCGACAAAAGTCGCGCTGGTCAACGCGGATCAGCTGGCGGAATCCCCGGAGGAGGAGGCGGAATGCGAGACCATGGAGCAAGCCGTGCTCTCCGCGCTCGACGCGCTTCCGAAGGACATCGACCGTTACATGTACCTCCGCGCGACGCGCGAGGCGGACGAGGAGTTATTCTTCCGCCTACTAATGGATCACACGGAGGAGGTTCTACCGTACATCTACACCCCAACGGTCGGGGAGGCTTGCCAACGTTACCACGAACTCGGGATCGTTCCTAACGGGATCTACCTCACGGCGGCGGATAAGGGTCACTTTCTGGAGCGCCTCCGCGCCGCGTGCCCGCACAGCGGCATTCGCGCGATCGTGGTGACCGACGGAGAGAGGATCTTGGGTCTCGGGGACCAGGGCGCGGGGGGGATGGGGATCAGCGAGGGGAAGATCCTGCTTTACACCGCGATGGCGGGGTTAGATCCGCGCCGCGCCCTGCCGGTGATGCTGGACGTGGGGACTAACAACGAGAAGCTTCTAGCGGATCCGGCGTACAAGGGTCTGCGTCAGCGGCGGCTGCGCGGTCCGGAGTACGACGAGCTCGTGGACGAGCTGATGACCGCGGCGCGCACGTTGAAGCCGCACGTTCTGCTGCAGTTTGAGGATTTCGGCAACTGCAACGCGTTTCGGCTGCTGGAGCGCTACCAGCACACGCAATGCTGCTTCAACGACGATATCCAGGGCACGGCGTGCATCACTCTCGCGGGGTTGCTCTCCGCGCTTCGGGTCACCGGGCGGCCGCTGGAGGAGCAGCGCATTCTCTTCCTCGGCGCGGGGGAGGCGGGGACGGGGATCGCGCAGCTGATCGCGCAGGCGATGAATCGACGGTGCGGGATGGATCTCGACGCGGCGCGGCAGCGGTGCTTGTTCATTGACTCTAAGGGCCTCGTGTGCAAGGAGCGCGAGTTAAAGGGGGAGCTGCAGGATCATAAGATCCCGTTCGCGCACGACCTGCCGTACCAGCCGGATTTGATCTCGGCCGTTCATGAGTTCCGGCCGACGGTGCTGGTCGGCGTGTCGGCGCAGGCGAACGCGTTCTCCAAGGAGGTGATTGAAGCGATGGGCGTTTATAACGAGCGGCCCGTGATCTTCCCGCTCTCGAACCCCACGTCCAAGGCGGAGTGTTCTTATAAGGAGGCGTTCAAATACACGGGCGGGCGCGTGGTGTTCGCGAGCGGAAGCCCGTTCCCCCCGCTGGTGGCGGAATCGGCGGAGCCGGGCGGCGGGAAGGTGACGATGTACCCCGCGCAGGCTAATAACGCGTACGTGTTCGGACCGATCGGCATGGCGGCGCTCTTAACGAGGTGCAGCAGTATCACGGACGACGTGTTCCTGTCGACCGCGGAATTCCTGGCGCAACTCACGCCGCAGGCGCATCTGGACCGCGGAATGCTCTTCCCCTCGCTCTCCGCCATGAAGGTAAGAACGCGCGGCTCACCTTTATCACGAACATTTATAAAAACTCATCGCTTACAACAGTAAACACTTCTTGTAACAACATGGGATTCGACTGAGAGTTACAAACTCGCTCTCACAATCCTCACCCCGCTTTTCCATCTCCTCCGCGCCCTTCACCCCTGGTCCTTGCTTCCGTCAGGCGCTCGTGCCGCTGCTTATAGCGCGTATATCCGAGTTCATGGTGGCGGAAGGGCTGGGCACCCCCCCGCCCGCGGTGGGCGCGGGGACGGTGGCGGAGTGGGAGCGCCACGCGCGCGCAAGCATGTACCACCCGCACCCGCACGGCCCGCTCGCGCTACCCGCTGTCCCCAGCGACTCGGAGGAGCTCCAGGGCTGGGCGGGCGCGGGCGCGGGCGCGGCGCAGGCGGAGCAGAGTCAGCTGCAGGACGTGGTGCATCAGCATCTGCACATGCCGGGGGGACCGGAGGTGGAGGTGAGCGCGGGGGGCATGGCGGAACTGGCGGACATGTGCCGCGACTTGCAGCTTTACCTGCTGCAGCTTTATCTTTCACTATCACTTTCGAGAATCCTCACCATCATTCCCCCTCGCTCACGATCCTTCCCCCTCAACACCCCCCCTCTTCGCGCCCTTCCTCCGCGCCCCTCCTTCCGCGCCTTGGGAATGCAGGTGAGCGCGGGCGACATGGCGGAGCTGGCGGACATGTGTCGCGACTTCCAGCAGTACCTGCTGGACCGCCGCCACTGGCAGCTGTACCTGCGGCTTATTCCCCCTCACTCACGATCCCCACCCGCGCCCCTTCCCCCACCCGCGCCCCTTCCCCCACCCGCGCCCCTTCCCCACCCCGCGCCCCTTCCCCCACCTTCCCCAGGTGAGCGCGGGCGACATGGCGGAGCTGGCGGACATGTGTCGCGACTTCCAGCAGTACCTGCTGGACCGCCGCCTCAAGGAGAACGGCGTCGCCGTCTTCATCAAGCCCTCCGCGCTCCCCGCCGCCGCTGGCGCTGCTAATGGCGTGGCTGCTGCTGGTGCTGCTGCTGCTGGTGCTGGCGCGGGGTTGAAGGAGATGCGCGGGGTGTATCTGACGGGCAAGGACCGCGGGCAGATGCTGCAGCGGCTGCAGCGGTGGGGGGAGCAGCGCGCGGAGGTGGGGAAGGACGTGGATGCGGTTCTGGTGGTGGATGCGGAAATCGTGCTGGGCCACACGGGCAACAGCAGCAGCAGTGGTAACAGTAACAGTAACGGTAACGGTAACGGCGCTAGTAATGACAGCATGGCGACTCTCTTCTCCTCTGCAGCGGCTGCGTGGCCGAATCTGGACCCGAGCAGGTGCCTTCTCGTGTGCCTGGATACGGGCACGGATAACCCTGAGCTGTTGGCGGCTGGGTCGGGTTACAGGGGGCTGAGCCAACCGCGTTTGAAGCCGTCTCGTTACAATGATATCCTGGCGGAGCTGCTGGGCGCTGTGCGCGTGTGGAACCCGAGCCTGCTGCTACAGTTCACGGACTTTTATAACAGTAACGCGTTTAAGCTCTTAGATAAGTACCGGGGGACTCACTGCTGCTATGAGAGCACCACCACCAGCAGTGACAGTGGAGAGGAGGAGGGAGAGGAGGAGAGCAGCAGTGAGAGTGATAATGAGGGGGCAGCGGCAGGAGCGGGAGGGTGGGGAGGGAGTGTGGGGGAGGGAGTGGGGGGAGAAGGAGTGGGAGAGTATGTGGTTCCGCAGGTGCCCGTGTGCTGTGTGTCTTTGGATGGTATGCTGTCTGCTTTGGAGGAAGCTGATGGTGTTGTGGCGGAATTCGGGGTGGCTTTTATGGAGGATGCTGCTGATGGGGAGCCCAGGGGCGCGGTGACCAAGGGGAAGGCGTCAACGAATGGCGTGGCGACAAGTGGCAATGGAGCGGCGGACCTGGTGGGACTGCAGGATGTGAAGGAGTGTACTCTGGATGGCGGCAATAACGACCTTATCTGCAGTAAGTGGAATAATTTGAAGAACTCTTTAAAATCCATCTTTTATTTGCTGAGCGATCAAACGCTTGCAGAAACCCACATCCTTGCTTATTCTTGAGTAGTAGCCTGCTCATTATTTCTCCTTTCCCGCTTCTCAAATCCCTTCTCCCCTTGTTTCCAGCTGGTTCGCTCACCTCTCCCTCGCGTCCCTCAACACGCAAGACGCAGTACAAGACCAGAGCTGTCCCTCACAGGCGCGCCATTCCCTCCTCTCTGCCCTACTGCACGCCCTTCACTAGCTCCCGCTCCCTTGCTGCGCCCACCCTGCGCCTGTCCGTGCCTCGGGCTCGTTCGGGTAGTTTCCGAGCCTCGGCTGCTGGTTCAGTGAAGGCAGGGGCGTCTGTTGCTAGGGTGGCTAGCCTGGGTGTTGGGCTGAGGTTTGCGTTTGCATGATATCTCTTGTTTATGGGTAGGTTGAAGCTTGGATAGTGTATGGCTTAATCCCTGTTGTAGAGTACCGTAGATGGATGTAGAAGTGCATTTTAAGTATTGCCGTACAATGCTTACCCAGAGCGCAAATGTGAGATTAATTGAGGAGCTTTACTGAGTGGCAAGCATGCTGAGATGCTTGTTCTTTCAGAAGGCTCGTCTCGTCGTCACCGACAGAAGGATTGGCAAGCCAGGCTGACAGGGTGAATGAAGAGCTGAAATAATTATTGATTATACATACTATATGGTACACAGCAATCATTATCATGGTGAGGGTATGGCTTGGCTGAAAGCGCATGATAAGTTGATAACCACAGGCTGAAGATGATGCCAGTATCTATTACTGTAATGAACGATGTACAGTAAAAGGTACCATAAAACTCAACCCAGAAGCACGAAAGCTACAGGTAAGAAAGATATGCTGCTGGATCTGCCAGTAGTGCACCTGCTGCAGATACGGTAATCACAGGCGAGCACGTGTCAGCCACAATTTGTCAAACAGATAATCCAATCGTTGGTCCTCTTTGAGGCTTGCGGGCGGGCGGGCGGGCTGGTGGGCTGGCTGGCTTGGCTTGGCATGCGGTGGGAGGTTGAATCCGCTTGACTTGGCTCGGCTTCAATGGAGTGCGCTCTGCTGCAGACGTCCGCTCTGCTGCAGACGTCCGCTCTGCTGCAGACGTCCGCTCTGCTGCAGACGTCCGCTCTGCTGCAGACGTCCGCTCTGCTGCAGACGTCCGCTCATGAATGGTGCACTGAGGGTAGAGACGTCAAGTGGCTTGTGGTGACAGGTACTGAGGGTACAGGAGGGTGACAAGCAATCCAACAGAGTAGCGGGGAGGTGCGCAGGGAGGAAGGGAGGGGGCCCAGAGGAGATGTTTGTGGGGGAGGAGGGAGGAGAGAGAGAAGGGGAAAGTTGTAACTTGATCTGAGATTAACGGTTGACATTGTTGATTAATATTGCTGGAAAGGGTATAACATAGATGGTTGACATTGAAGGGGAAGAGAAGGAAGAGGGGACAGGCAAGATGAGTGTTACGTGGGAAGGGGGTTGAGCGGTGTGTGGGGCGTGAGCAGAGAGGAGAGAGGTTGGAGAAGAGCAGGGAGATGAGGGGTGAGAGACAGAGGTACGTGGGGGGAGATGAGGGGTGAGAGACGGAGGTACGTGGGGGGAGATGAGGGGTGAGCGGAGGGGGAACGACAGATGGACCGTGAGGGGGTGGGAAGGAGAGACTAGGGATATATAGGTGAGGTGAATAAGGGTGAGTGGGTGGGGAGAATGGGGGGTGAGTGAGGGGAAAGACGAGGGGAGGGCGGGGGGAAGGGGGAGAACGCAGGGTGGATAGAGGGAGGGATGAAGAGCGAGTGAGGGGGGAGGGGAGGCATGGTGTGGGGAGCGGATGAGAGGTGAGCGAGACTGTGTGTTGGGATGGGGGGGGGGGGGGGGGGGGGGATTGGGTGGTCGGGGGGGAGAGGAGGGGGTGGGGGGTGAAGGGGGCGGTGAGCGGAGAGGGGATGAGGGGTGGGTGCGAGGGAAGAGGGGTGAACACGGGGAGTAGGCGGAAATCGCAGGGGAGGGGAGATCGGAAGAGAGAGGAGTGGGGAGAAAGCGCGGGGAGAGGAAGAGGGGGGAGAGGGGGGGGGAAGGGGGGGGATGGGGGGAAACGGGGAAAACGGCCAGTCCGCCAAGTCGCCTCTCACCAGTCTTCCGTCACGAGGTGCAAAACGGAAAGGTGCAAAACGCGGAAAGGGGCTCCACGAGGTGCCTCAGCGTCACCGCCCGCTTCCCCAGCGTCGCCTCTCGCCACCAAAATTAGGCTTCTCGTCAGCTTCTCACAATATCATTCCCCCTCCCTTTCCCTCCCCTCTTCCCTCCCCAACCATCCTGTGCAAAGGCGATCCCGAGGCGTTCCACCAAGCGCGCCATCCTGAGGCTTCCGCCGCGTGCCTAACGGACCGGGGCATTGAGGCGACGCACTGAGGCGACTCAAACGACGCGCGCTCAAATCGGCACTGCTCGTGCGTCCGCATGACAAGCCTCTTAAGACACTGCTAATGCGTTCGCAAATCGACGCTACAAATGCGTCCGCAAAAGGAGATTTTCTATTCGTCCGCAGACTGGAGCGTTATCTTATTTAAAAAAAACATCAGATCTGAACAACCACTGACTAGCAGTCAAACATCGGAATCGCGCAACTACCACCACGCTATTAAAATCTGTGAAGCGCCACGGATTCCGCGACTGTTCAAGTCGCGGCTTTACGGTCTACCGTTTAGATCTGACGAGAACGACATCCAATCATGGACGGTAAAAATATGCGACGCGGAACTAATCCACGCTGCCTCAATCTGGCGGAAGTAACCGCTCCCCTTGATAAGCGTGACTAGACAATGACGGGTTTGAAGAATGAGGTGTGGTGTGGTAGATGGAAGAATGTGAGGTGGATGATTGAGGTTGTTGATAAGGTTGTGCTGGCTGGCTGTGCCACGATGGCAAAACGCACTTCATTGCTATTGGCTCGCGCAAATATTTTCCCAAGCACTCCTTGCATTTTCAGCTGCCCAGCACGGATTACAAGCAGCAAAACTGGTTGCGAGGGCAGCTGAATAGTTGCTTGCCCAATCACGAACTAATTTCTGGACCAACCAAACCACCGCCGTCCCGCACCTCACGCAAAACATTATCGTCGGGAGAATAATAACCAAATGCCACGGCTCCTCCTAACAAGTTCCAGCCTGCCCTAGGTCCATCCGTGCCAAACGTATTCCATCCGTCGTGCATACCTGGGTGGGTGCCAAAACTCCCAACAGCAATACGCGCCACCAACATTCTCGATTGCAACAAACAACACCAAACCAAACCAAACCAAACCAAACAGCAAAATTAACCAGCCTGTGAATCAAAGATCCACAGTACAACTTGAGCACAATCGTGTGTGTTTTTCAAACCCAATCGAGGAATGTAAACCTGTGTAGTATTGGATCCGCTCGTACAGCGTACACCAATTGGGCCGCCACAGTATGTCTGCTGCTGAAAGTTCCCTCCCGAAGCATGCGTCTCTGCCGTCATAAGCGGGAAATCGTTGGCCCATAATAACACACAGCATCACCATGCCATGCCATGATGCCACATCCATACCATGCCAAGCAAATCGCCACCGTTCAAGGTGTCACTCCACCACCATCCAACTGTTCATACTATGCCTACAGAAATTCGCGCTGTGGCCGCCAAAATGACAGCACAGCATTGCGTCGCACCGCACTGCACCCAGCAATTGGAGCCAAACTGGGTAAACATTTCACAAGTGCCACACCTCGATACTTCCTGACACCCATCACAATTGGTTTGAAGCGCTCTGCATCGCGCGCACCGGCCGCCATCCAACCCAACCAAACGAATCCTGTCAGGGAAAGGTCGAGCGGAAGAACGAGCAAGTGCTTGCCGGAGCACGCTTCTACTCATGGTTCAGCGCGCTACCGCTTCTCGTACCAGCTCGATCGTTCCCACACATCCCATACACACATTATAATCCATTTTTGTTCACCGAGCAAGCTAATCTTTCCGAAAGGCTTCCGGCTAGTACTGGCGAAAACCCAATGGCACGCGGCAGCGTTGAGCTATAGAAGTCGGGTGTGGGACGGGTTGGGTAGAGAGTCGTGAGAGAGCGAGCTGCCTGCTGCCTGGGTTGAGCCTTTACAAAGCTTGTTGCCCGAAGAAGATTACTGTTCCACCTCGAGCCTCTCGAACTGATTTTCACGGCCATATCTCTACCGCTGAATCTCCACGGCCGGGCGAAGGCGACTACTTCGCGGCGCGATGCTCGCGGCGGATTGGTGGTCCTTCTCGCGTGGCGCATGGTGGCGGACGGCGCTTCTCCCATCGCACGACGCTCGGCGGACGGTTTGAATTTCTCTTTTTCGTCATCGTTTTCTTTCAGTTTTTTCCAGCTTTATTGTTCGTTTTCGGCTTGTTCGTTCTTTATTCTCATCCTTCTTGAGATCACTAACTTACTTTGTTTATTCTTGGTGCGTTCAGCAGGAGCATTCCAGGAGTATTGGCGCTGGTGGTGTGCGAAGCGGGTGGAGCGAGGTGCGAGGAGCGACTTTACCTTGGTAAGTGTCGTCCATTTTTAGTGTTTTTATATATTCGATTTACTCACGTCTGTCATTTTTCTCCTTGTGCGTGTTAGGCAGGCGGAGGAACGAAGATGAAGATGAAGACCGACCAAGGAGGAGACAACACTTCGCCTTGGTAAGTTTTGTCCATTTTTAGTGTTTTTATTTATCCGATTTACTCACGTCTTTCCTTTTCTCCTTGTGCGTGTTAGACAGGCGGAGAACGAAGATGAAGACCGAAGCAGCGAAGATGAAGATGAAGACCGACCAAGGAGGAAACAACACTTCGCCTTGGTAAGTTTTGTCCATTTTTAGTGATTTTATTTATCCGATTTACTCACGTCTTTCCTTTTCTCCTTGTGCGTGTTAGACAGGCGGAGAACGAAGATGAAGACCGAAGCAACGAAGATGAAGATGAAGACCGACCAAGGAGGAGACAACACTTCGCCTTGGTAAGCTTTGTCCATTTTTAGTGTTTTTATTTATCCGATTTACTCACGTCTTTCCTTTTCTCCTTGTGCGTGTTAGACAGGCGGAGAACGAAGATGAAGACCGAAGCAACGAAGATGAAGATGAAGACCGAAGCAACGAAGATGAAGATGAAGACCGACCAAGGAGGAAACAACACTTCGCCTTGGTAAGTTTTGTCCATTTTTAGTGTTTTTATTTATCCGATTTACTCACGTCTTTCCTTTTCTCCTTGTGCGTGTTAGACAGGCGGAGAACGAAGATGAAGACCGAAGCAACGAAGATGAAGATGAAGACCGACCAAGGAGGAGACAACACTTCGCCTTGGTATGTACTGTCCATTTTTAGTGGTTTTTATTTATCCGATTTACTCATGTCTTCTCTTTTCTCCTTGTGCGTGTTAGACAGGCGGAGGACGAAGGTGAAGACCGAAGAAGGAGAGCCCACGACCCCACCTTGGTACGTTTCGTCCGTTCCAAGCGTTTTACTTTTTCTAAAGTACTCACGTCCTTGTTTGTTTGTGAAGCAGGAGGAGTCGCGGTGTGGCGTATGAAGCTGAAGGAGCAAGGAGCAAGGACCCTCGGGCCGACCTCACTCACATGGTAAGGTGTTGTGATCATTTTCCCGACGGCTTTGTTTTATAAAGTACTAACGTCGTTTTTAAGTTGTTCTCTGTGGTGCAGGAAGTCGGGAGCTAAGGATCAGCGCAAAGCGAGGATCGAACGAGGACCAACAAGGAGAAGCAAGTAGCAACGAGGAGCAAGGAGCTGCGAGGAGCTTGACTCCCCCCTTCCCCTCCTTCCCTTTCTCAGAAGGTGGAGCGACAACTGCAACAGCAGCACAGACTGGACAGACGAGGGCGGTGTGGGCTGGGTGGGTAGGCGATGGGGACGCGACGCGACTGGGTAGTTAGGCGATGGGGACGCGACGCGACTGGGTGGTTAGGCGATGGGGACGCGACGCGACTGGGTGGTTAGGCGATGGGGACGCGACGCGACTGGGTGGTTAGGCGATGGGGACGCGACGCGACTGGGTGGTTAGGCGATGGGGACGCGACGCGACTGGGTGGTTAGGCGATGGGGACGCGACGTGACTGGGTGGTTAGGCGATGGGGACGCGACGCGACTGGGTGGTTAGGCGATGGGGACGCGACGCGACTGGGTGGTTAGGCGATGGGGACGCGACGCGACTGGGTGGTTAGGCGATGGGGACGCGACGCGACTGGGTGGTTAGGCGATGGGGACGCGACGCGACTGGGTGGGTTGGGTTCCCTCCTCTTTACTCCCGCCACTTTTTGTGGCTCACCGCGGCAACCTGACAACCTGACAACAGAGAAGCTACTTCAAGCTCCGAGGTGTTCTCCGCTCGCTGGCATTTACATTAATCCTACTAACCGTCCCTCCTCTTTGTTTTAGTGTTTTTTCTTGCAGGTTCCCTAACGAAGGACCTCCACCTCATCGTGGTGTTAGGGTGAACGCTAGAGGCTTTTCCTCTAGCGGCCAAGAGGGGTCCATGCGAAGACCGAAGACCAAGGTCCAAGATCCAAGTTCCAGTAAAGAAGATTCCAATTGAAGACTTCTCTACAGTTCTACAAGTTTCTGAAGTTGACATGTAGAAATCGTATGTGGAGTGTAGATCTTGTTTGTACGACTTCATTATTTTTATTACAGTTTTGGTTTGTTGTTTCAGCTTGATGGAGCAAATTCAATGGGAAAAAATGAATTCCAGGCCACCAGTCTTGGTGATTGTTATTCTAAGCAGTCCAGTGAGCTTGCAGCAGCAACTATCTAGGTCCAGCAATGCTTGCTGATCCGCTATCAGGAAATCTCTTCCATCACCTGGTCTTGCTGTGACCTGTAGGTAGGAAGCAAGCAAGGTGGTTTTCAAGTCAAAATACTAAGCAAAAGCCAATAGCTGAAGAAGCGGGCCAGTGTAGTAAACCAGACAAATAGAACATTCAGAGCTCAGCAGTGAAATGAGCTTGCAGCAAACATGTCTGGACAGTATGGCTTGCTGCTGATCTGCATCGGAAAAAGCAACACTGTTGCCAGGTATCCCTAAGGCTCTGCAGACAGCAATGTGTTTTTCAAGTCAACTTGGACTACCTAGACAATAGCTGATTACTGAGGAAGCAGGCTAGTGAGGCGGACGCTAGCCTCCGTGATTACCACACCATAGCAGGCGTGCCGATATGTCGCTCCGAGTCTCACAACTCATCTCGCACATCCTTCCACTCCTCACCCTTTCCTTTCTCCTCACCGCCGGCGGGTGCCGGGGAGGCACTTTTGTCCTTAGTGGAAGAAGAGGAAGGGGTATCAGTGGTAGAATCAGAGGCACCAGTGG